TTTGCAGAAAGCTAGTTTTCAGTCCACAATAGATGGGCACTTTGGTTAAGTTTTATATAAATATGAATGAAACAAATAAATGCACACAATATAAAATTAGCAAAAACAAACAAATTATTGTTTTATATAAATATTCTACAAATACAGGCCTTTCATTTCCAATATTAACATTAACTTATTTTGGAAAATTAAGAAATTTACAAGCTCGCAAAATTAGAAAAAAGTTTCGTACCTTATTTACCAAAACGCACTGCTGAACGCACAACTGACTTTTTAATGTTGTTTATAATGCATGCATGAAGATCAAAAATATTTATCTTTATTTAGAAAAATATATATATCAAAATAATATTTTTTCCATGAAATTTTTGAGCTTATGCCAAAAAAAAAAGAGTTGTCTGGCCCAATGTGCAGTGTGAAGAAAGGTTGTAAACGTTAAAAAGAAAAGTAAGCTTAGCAATATAGTGGAATTCTGATTGTTTATAACTTTTGAAAACTATGGAGTGTGCTAGTTGGAAAAAAAGAAGAAAAACAGCATAAACTTGAAATTTTCTTATCTCGGGCCTAGAAAATGCTATTAGCCCATAACTTGGACTTTTCAACAGATTTGATATTTTACAAACAGACTGACCGACAGATGGACAGGCATACTTGTATGGCATTAATTGCATAAATTACAGTAAGCTAATCAGAGCCTAATTTCTGCCAAGACCTACATACATATCTCTGACGACAATTGCATCAGATCTATTTAAATTGAGGAACAAACACCCTATGCATCAATGGAAGTCCTACGAATAGTTAAGGGGCTGCTGAAAACAAAAACACGCGCGAACATGCGCGAACATGCCCAAAGAAATGCCCACAACAAAAATATGTATAATTGAAGATAAAAATAAATGCAAAAAATGCAGCAACCACACGACGACTTCCCATGAAAAATGCAGCCAGAGGCAAAATCCAAAAATAATAATAATAATAATAAAATACAAAATAAAAGGAGGGCGACAAACAATAGCAAAAAGTGGCTGGACATGCTATAACAAAAGCCGCACAAGACAAAATGCAGTTATCTATATTGTACTCGTACATACTTGTACACACATACATACTTGTACATACATATATACATACATACATACGTACTACACATAGCTAAAAATTGTACAAAGGAAGTGCAGCGACAACAACAACAACAACAGCAGCAGCAGTATTCGTACAAAAATACTCAAAAAGAATAAGAAAAAAATGATGGGTTATTAAATGTTGTTAATCTGTCACTTTTATTGTGCAGCCGGGTCGGTCGGTCGCTCATTTGGTCTGTGGGTTACCTTCGGACCGTTCGGGCCATATTCAAATTTCAGACAAATGCCAAATAAAAAGACTTGGGAAATGGCTAAGAGAAATGGCAAGGTGAGAGCGGCGGTAGAGGCAAGGGCTGGGCGGCGAACAATGTTGCAGGTAAATGGTCAAGGCAACGCCTGGCCGCGCCGCACCGCACCGCACCGTGCCGTGCCGTGCCGCAACCACCGTTATAACCACACCGTACAATGGACAATGGGCAGAGGAGGCGCAGTTTCTCTTTGCGAGTATGTGTTGCTGTCTCTGCCTCTGCCTCTGCCATTTGGCTTTATTGTGCTCGCTGTTTAAATATTTACCAAGTTTTACAATATTTATGACAGCTAAAAACATAACAACACCTACTTTTGTGCAGTCGTAGTGCTCGCAACTCCCGAACCGCTCGAACCGTTCGAACCGCTCGACACTTGACACTAGACGCAGGTCAAATATGTCGATGTTGGCTAAGCCCCGGGCTTAGTCCTTTCAGTTGACAACTATGCTAACTTCCTGTGCGACCGACAGACAGACAGAGGGAACGATCCAAAGCAAGAGGGAGATAGAGATAGAGAGAGGGAGAGTGTGTGCATCATAAAAACTGTCGCTCGATTGCAATCAATAAACGGCTTAGAAACAACAAGCAAAGCAACTACAACGCGACCAACTAGCCGGTCAAGTAATATTCAAATATTTCCAGCCACTTCTCTAATCCATTTGAATGTCAACACTTGGCCCTTTGCTCCCTGCTTCCGTTCAACGCACTTACATGCTAATCCTGTCTGTCTCAGCAATTGTGTCTCAGCAATCTCCGATCGCCTTCGATCCCTCTGCTCTCTCTCTCTCTCTCCCTCTCCCTGCTAGCGACTTTGCTGCTTAGCCCCGCTCTTATGTGCCACAAAGTACCACTAAACGCTGGCAAGCATTGAGTTTGGCGCAATAAGCCGGCGCATTAAAAAGTAAATTTGTTTAAATCCGCTTAAAACAAAGTGAGTAGCCGTAGTCTGGACTAGGATTAGTGCAATAGCTCGGCTTACAGACACTTTGCATGCCAATATGCAACAAGTGTACGGATTAATGTTGCGGACAATAGCTCGAGACGTACATCATCCACATCCTCATTCTCATCACCATCACCTTGCAGCAGCACTTACCAAAGTTCAATGAGTTAGTTGGCTAAACTGGGACTAAGCTTAGCATAATGAGAATGGACGGCTCATTGATGCTCCTCGACGTTAACTGCAGCACAGGGTTGGCTTCTCAACTCTTTACTCCTTTGCTCATTCGTCCTTTTTTGAGGCTCTTCATTGAGCCATTTGATATCGTTCTCTATTGTTATAGATTTTGCTGCATTTGGAGCCAACTACACAATCCTCTCGATTCCCGACATTATATTGGTTCCTGTGACTCGCTCGTGCGTTTCTAATTCGTGTCGCGACTAGGAATCTGAAGTAGTTGGATGCATAAATAGCTGTACTAGCTAAGCCTTATTTAAAACTTTGACTAAAAAAGCTCATAACGTAAATAATTCTTTATATTTAAACGAACATTTAATACAAAGATGAATGACATTCTAACTTGTTTTATTTTGGATCTAGAAAATAAAAAATAATAAAGACGTCCTCACATTAATCTTGTTTTGTGCAGATCGCCTCTTAGAACCGTGCATCTTCGAATACTGGCTCTAATTGAATCGCAAGATAGCGAAATATGCCTTAAAAAAATTTACTTCCACTATTGGAATTAAAATTTTCAGAAGTTTTCCGACGCTTTCCGGACTATTTTGCTTGCTTTTAATAAAAGTGGTTGGTCCGCCATTTCTAAACACTAACAGAGAGCTGTTTCCATTTCCGGCACACATTTTCTTTAAATAAAGAGACTTGCCAAGATTTGTTCAATTCTAGCATTATTAACATTATTAGCGTCTGGAGAGTAAAAACAACTTATGCTCTATATGCCGATCAGCATTTATGAGACAGAGGCATACCTGCCTTAACAAAATTTATTTATGCATTTACTGCCAAAGCAAAAAATGTTCGAGATAGTTACAGAAACTTTCCAGCGTTACTTTCGATGTTAAATTGCAAAATTATCAGATTTTTAAATTAGAACTCTTTCAAATGTAAACGACTGTAATCTTGTTTTCGTAAGATTTTGTATTAGTAGACATAAAAGAGCTCATTTATATATTTATTGATTCCATTCTGTCCTTAAGTCGTCCTGATATCTTTACTAATTTGTAAAATTTTATTTTGCAACAGAATTCATCGGAGGATACTCGATACTCATATGAATATTTGAATACACATCTAAAATATGTTGCTTTAATTCTGCTTTCCTTTCCTAGAACCACTTGCAATTATTCTAGTGGTTTAATTTGTTTGAGGTTTTCAAAAAAATATTGTGCGAGAATCACATATCTTAATTGAAGGTTTGGAATGTTGCGAATGATTTCAAGGAAACAGTGCTTCTCTCAATTAATTGGAACATTTAAAAGGGGATTGCGCAAATTTCTTGATTTTATCCCCCCATGCAGAGCTTGGCAATAATACTTACGTATTATTCACTTCCGTTTGGTTCAATACCGAAATCGACAGTTGTAGGACTTCAATTCCCCAACGTGTTAGGTAAAAGATGTGGATTCGTTTTCATATTCATTTTATTTATTGGGTGCATTTATTTCTGCAGCTTAGTCTATATACGACGCCTACAAACATAAATTAGATAATGCTATACTACAATACATACGTGCATTCGTATCTCCTCTCTATATACAATTCAATCGTGTGAAATTAACTAAAATAGCCATATTGCATTTAACACAACTCACGGCTGTATCACAGTTCAACAGGACTTATTATATGAAAAAAAAAGTGTATGTATATGCTATATATTCGTAACTACTTTAAATTAAATCTAGGCGCAAAAAAATGGGCGTTTAAATATATGGTACTTAGATATAATACTTTAAAATGGTTTGGATGTCAGGGCTAGTACCTACTAAAGATAAGCAGATGAACTAATTAAGAGTACAAAGTATGGGTGTGTATATGGGTGTGTGTGTGAATGTTGCAGTTACTCCTTTTTGACTAGAACGGCAACTTTATGTAATTGTGTGTGTCTGTGTGTGTGTGGCAACCTAAGACTAAGCATCTCTCAAGAATTGTTTGCAGTTCTTTGCACGCTATTTTGAAGATTGAAATAAAAAAAACCAGCTTAATTTATTTAAATTTAAGTTAAAAGCATGTGCAGAATGATTGTGCCATGCAATAATAAATAGATTACCTTATGTATATATAGTATATATACATAAATGGGTATATGAATGCGTACTTGTATATATGTAAAATAATAATAATACTTTTAAATTTCATATGCCATGCATTTCAAGTGCAATGTGTTTGGGTTGGGTTTGGGTTTGGGTTAGTGTGGGTGTGCTTGAATGTTAGGGGTGTGTGTGTGTGTGTGTGTGTGTGGACAGAGACCAAACTGAAAATTGTAATTCATTAAATTTACTTGATCCAGACGCGGACGGACAGACAGACAGACAGATAGACAGGCAGACAGCAGCTTTAGCTTCAGCTTCAACATCAACTCACGCGCGCAGCACGCGACGCGATGACGTCGGCCTGGACGTCGGCCTAGACGCAGACGCCGACGCCGACGCTGAGGCCGGCTGTTGACGCTTGCCACGCCGTCCTGCGGCCAGCTCCGCGGTGGGCTTGGCCACCTCGTTGAACTCCTTCCGATTGATGGCAGCATCCAGTTGCAGGCGCTTCTGCCGCTGCGCCAACAGCTGCTGCTGCTGTTGTTGTTGCCTCTGCTTTTGCTGCTGCTGCTGCTGCCTATCGCGCTGCCGTTGTCCTTGGTGCTCTCGCGCCAACCGGCGCCTGTTTCTCTTGCCATTCTGCCGCAGGAGCTGCCACATGGTGCGCAGAAACTCGTAATAATGATGCTTGACGAACTGCAAGTCAATAGAGTCCGCCTCAAAGGCGGCAGACGCCGACGCCGATGACGACGTCGACATCGAAGTTGGGGACGACGTCGCCGGGCGCCGCTTGGAGCGCAACTTGAGACGCTTGTTCATGTCATTGCGCGATATTTGCGGTAGCTGGCGTCTCTGTGCAGCACTCGGAGCCGGATATGTGTGATTGACTGCCGTCTCCAGTTCGCACAACATGCTGCGCGAGCTGAGGAGCAGGAGCTTCAGTTCGCGTGCCGCGCGACTCTCGCGCTTCAAGTGTTGCCGATCCCAATTGATTTGCATGCGACGCAAATAGGCAAAGGAGGCCACATAGGTTTGCATGTTGCGGTACCAGCGCTTCAGCGCAATCTGTCGTGGAAAAATGGGAGCCAAAGTCCAGGAAAATTAGTGATGACTAAATCTATGGAAATATACTTTCACGGGGCGCCATGAAAGGTATTATATGATTTCGAAATCTAATATCAGGCTCAAGGGCAGAGTGAGGTAACGTTGAGGCACTGATAAATAAAATCGTTCGAACGGACTGAAAGCCTTGTTTTCAATTTTTCTTAAAAGTATATCAATGTTTTTTTGCTCTGAATCTTGTTTATTCTCGAACAGCAGTTTTGTATTAAATAATTAATTGTTTTGTAATGGTTCGATATTATTGGTGAGTTCCACTTTTTGTAATAGCTACAAAAATACTATATATTGAGGAAAGGATATCATAGAAGAACTCATTCAAAAAACATTCAAGGAAAATATAAAATTAGGCTTAAATGGCAAGAGTGTGATCAGGACTAAAATATGACCCGTTAAGGCTTCTTTCATTTTTTTTTTTCAAAAATGAACAGTGGGGAAATGTTTTTTAAAAAAAGCTATGGTTGTGGTATATTTTTGTTGCTTTTCTATTGACTGACACTTACCGTTGAATTTAGCTTGAGCTTTGGCAAGAATTTGTAGTTGTAGTTGTGGAGGGACCACATCTGCATGTCACTAATGTCGATGCCCTCCTGATTGCCACGCAACGACCGATACTCACTGCCGGCGGCGCGCTTCAGCAGGTTAAAGATCTGTGCGAGTGTGGAGGAAGAGATGGAAGAGGGGAAGCAGTTTGTTTAGGAATGTCGATGTTGAATACACATTTTTCCCTGGCATATCGTGCACCCACCTGTTTGGGATTCATGCGTCTCCTGTTGGCTCTGCCGTCGCCAAAGCCGCCGCCAGTGGGGCTGGGCATGTAGAAGCCACCGCAAGGATTCATCCACTCCAGGGCTGTGGTGTTCTCATTGTAGTTGCGATAGTCGTACCAATTGCTGTTCCGCTTGCGGTGACGTTTGCGCAGCGGCTGCTGCTGCTGCGACTGCGACTGCGCCTGCGTCGCCTCATACACGGCATGCAGGCTCAGGGCAACGCTAGATCCTTGCTGCTGTTGCTGCTGCTGCTGCTGCGACTGGCGCTGACCAAGCAGCGTCGTCGTGGTTGTCGTCGTGGTGGCTGCTGCATCGATGACAGTCAAGCCGCCACTGGTTGTGGTTAGTGCGGCGGCGTCACAGCCGCCAGCGGCGCTGAGCACCAGCAGCAGTGAAAGCACCGGCAAGGACATGGCCAGATGCATGCTCCTCTGCTCTTCTGCGGATGTCTGCTGTTTGCTCGGATACTGCCGCCTTGGCGCATGGTCCTGCTCTGCTTTGTACTTGTGTGTGCATATCCTTGTTGCGTTCGTTGTTGCTGTTTTTGCTGCGCCAGCGCTGCCACCTCCACTTCCGCCGCCGCCGTCGCCGCCTTGCCGCGTCGTTGCTGCCGCTGTCGCCGTTTTGTTGCCTTTAACTTTGGTTGCAGCGCAATGGCAACCAACTGCTGCCGTTTGTTGGTATTTTAATGTTGTTTTTTTTTTTAATTTTTTGGGTTTTTTTTATTTTTTATTTGTTTTTTTTTGTATGTGAATATCCAAAAGTTTATTGCCAAAATGCAAAAGCGATGTAACAGTAAATCCGAAAAAACAAACAAAATGAAAGGAAACAAAATAGAAAACACAATGAATATTAAATGAATACGTGCAAGAAGTGCAGAGCATAACAAATGAATTGTTCTACTATGAGATGCATATGAGGATGGGGTTCATGGAGATGACCTTCGCCTTAACTTTCGAGAAATGTTATAGCGATGCCATATCTGTTCGTAACGATATTTGGTCCAATTTATCTTGAGCGAATGTTTTTATCATTATTAATATTATTATCTTATTATTATAATTTTTTTTGTTGAAAATTTTACAGAAAACTCAAAAGCAAAAACTGACAAAAACGAAAACGTAAAATTTTGTTTTCTACCTAAACGTCTCTTTTCACTAAATCGAATTTATTGTAATAATCAGCATAGTTCTGAGGCAATTATTTTGATTAGATAATTTTTGGAAATCCTTAAAATTCACAAATTCAATTTTCCTGCCATTTTCTACAGTTTATATTATAATTCTTACCAAAAAAATATTTCAACGCAATTCTTCCAAACTCATATAAAATAAGAAATCCTTTCTTTGGACTAATCTCAAAATATTAATATTTAAAAGGTAATTAAGAACTTAATCATTCTGTATATTGGATTGAATATATTTGCAGATTGGCTTTAATGGATGTTTCTAGGATTATGCACCTTTTATACCAAAACAAGACATTTGTATAACTATGCAAAAAAAAATTAAAACTCAAATCAAAAATAATACACACACCGCATTATAGTTGAAAATGTTATTGCAAAATGGTAAAAGCAATTTGCAATTAATCCGATAAGATATTGTTTATTGGTTGTTCTTCGAAATGATTTCTCGATTTTGATTGGATTGTTGATATTTGATCACAATTTCAAATTTGAATAGCACTCTCTTGAATTTATTGTACACTTGGCACCACACTTGAGAAAAAATTCAATCCGTACGCACATTTACAATAAAAATGCTGTCTCATACAGTTCTGTCCAGAATGCTGCTTATGCTTTATGATCAATGTTTATTTGCCTTTTGGGACCAGATCACCGATCACCAACGATCATCAAAGAGCGTACTTTCCGACCACTACTGTTCACGTCCAAGTTTGAAACCGAACTGAACCAAAAGTTGCGCTGAATTTGACCAGCTTTCTTTGTTGAGAGCCACAGCCACACCAACAGCCACTGCCACTGCCACTGCCACAGCCACAGCGGGCAATGGCAATACAATAACAAAGCGGCGGCCGAGAAACCGAAACCGAGACCGAGACGACCGCCGTCAGTCAGTCAGCCAGCCGGGCAGACCATGGGAAAACGAACGGTACGGCTCAAACTAAACCGAAAGAACACTAATACTACCAAGGACTGTCTATGTGTGTGTGTGTGTATGACTGTTGTTGTTGTTGCTCAACGTTGATCGCGGCAGAAGCAGAGAAAGAGGCTGCCTGCCTCCTGCCTGCTTGACAGCCTCTGTCTGCCTGCCTCCCATTCTCTTTGCCTGTTTACCGCTGGCCCGAGTGTGAGTGTCTGCCTTTCTGTCTGCCTGTCACTCATCGACGGGCTTCAACGGTCAGCCTGGGCTGCAAGTGTGTGTGTGTATGTGCGTGCGTGTGTTTGGGTGTGTGTGTGTGTGTGTGTATGTGCATGCTGTTCGTATCGACCAACGAATGAAGCCGAAAGGCAGACCAACCAGCTAACGAACGCATTATAAGCCGGTTGTAGGCATCGCATGCATGTGTGTGTGCATGTGCATGTGTGTATGTGTATGTGTGTGTGTGCAACGCCATCGCCATCGCTCTGTTAGACCCAAGGCTTATCTTGTCGTTGTTCCCATTTTCTACTCATCCAATGAAAATATTTCACTCAGAGCACAGTTGCACTCATAGATCTGCACACACTCTCTCTCTCTCCCTCTCTCTCTCGCACACACACACACCCTCACACACTGCTCCTGTTGTTATACCTGAAAATTCATTTTTATGATCGTAGCTTCTACCCCAACCACATATGTCTGTCCCTGTTACTCATTCTCTCGATCTCTATAAAACGGGATCATTTTTTACGATGCCCGGCTGCGCAAAAATGCATCTACATATCTACATGCATACATACTTACATACATACATATGCTCGTATGTATAGCTTATTTATATTTAGTTAACTACCTGAGTTCTTGTACTTTAACTTGAGCTGAGCCTGATTTACTGTTGGGCCAAGTCCTTCGCTTCCCCAACCATATACATGGAAGGGATTTTGCTAAAAACAATTGTACGAGCACGAGGCACTCACCTCTACACACATATAAGTAAGTAGTATAGTAAAATATACATATACTTGTATGTTTATGTTTATATAAATCAATTGGAAATCGGTAATATGTTTCAGATAGTAAAATATATACTTGTATGTTTATGTTTATATAAATCAATTGGAAATCGGTAATATGTTTCAGAGAGGTTGATAAACACTTTAAATGTAGTTTAAAGATTCATTTAATTTGTTGTTCAGTTTAACATAAATAGCCCCAATAGCAAAGGATATCCCATAATTTTAGGACATTAGTAAGGTCAGTGAAAATGTCACCTTATCAACATATTATATTTGAAACAAAAAACGTTGCTATTTTTAAATTATTGTAATTTGTCTTTAAACTCAATAAAATGACAATTCAAATTATAAAGTGTACAAATGGTTGATAAACAATTTTTTAATTTAAATGAAGTCAATATAATATTACTTTTTTATACCTTTGTAGAATTCCTGGATATGTCCACCATAATTATTAATTATTTTTAATATGTAAGCTGAACTCGAAATAGCCAATTTTTTTGGGAGTTATCCGTCCAATTTGGTCCTCTCTGCTAAAATTGGTTTTTTATTTTGGTTGGGTATAAAAAAATGTAGCAAATTTTCGAAAACATTTACTTTAAGCTCAGAATGTTCCCCAGCATTTTCCAAACAAATTTTCAAAAATGTTTCTCAATAATTAGTTTTTAATTAAGCCCTAACTAAATGACACCCCCTTTTATAAAATTCAAATTTAAAATTGTGCAACCAACAACATGACTTAAAAATGTGTGCTATATTCGAGTAAAACATAAAAGAAGGACTACTGCTGTCCTGAGTAATACGCTTTTTTGTAAGCATAGGTGTAAATTCCTTTTTCATCTTCAGCTTTAATCATACATATATATTATACATTTTTCGTCTATAACCCAATTTCTTTGGCATATGGACGTATATATGAAAACCAGGCTTAGGAAGTTTTTATATTATTTTATTATGAAGCATTATATTCGCTTTTATCTTTCGTTAAAAGTTCAGGCTATTATTGTGTGTATATATTTAAAACAGACTGTTTCCTTTTTTCTGGAAATAAATATATCGGTCTTTCCCTTGAAAAATTACTTTCCTTAAAATTAATTTATGGAGACGCATTTCTCAACATTTATTTGATTATGAATATATTTGCGAAACTTAGATATAATTTTAAATGTTAAAACAGTTTTCTGGATTATTGCGCTATATATTTGAATCATACTATATATGAAATGTTGTTGGTGAGGGAAGGGTTGCGGTGGAATACCAATAAATTGTCGGCGACTATATGTTTGATGGTTTCTTTAACAGAGGTTTTGCTTTCGAGATATTCAGAGGCTAAAAGCTTACCATACTGTCTGCATCAAGGATCCTTATTCAAGGATGGCACGGAACCATTAATGAATATCGCACTGTTTGGAGAACACTTTTACTCTCACTTCCTTAAAGGCCCATGAAACTGATCATACTTGTATAAAAATCAATAAATCGGAAAGGCCAATTATATATTTATGTGTGGAAAGGTGGCCTTCTCACGATTCCTCCTGCAATCTCATCAGTCCTAAGTGCCCGAGTGGGGAAATTGCTGCTCCTAAGAGGCGCCCCTATCTTAGATCAGAATCAAACGACTGCAGTACATATCAAGTATGTCCGAAGCAAGTCTATTCTAAGTACGATTGGCAATTAAATAGGCTAAAATATTTATATTGATGTGCAACGCCTCAACCTTCTCGTAGCTGTCTACCTAAAATCCTGGGCGATCGTGACCATTAAATCAAAACTGACCAGCATGCGAACGTGTGAGGCTGTGAGTGTTTTTGGGTGTGTGTTGTGTAAGTCTGTGAGTGTGTGAGTGTGCCTGCGAGAAAGGACAATTGACGAGCTAATTAAATGTAGTTGCTGCTTTGTTTTGTATGGCTTTTTCAAAATTATGGCCACATTGTTAAGAACAGCTGTGTTGTCGGAACCGACACATTCTGTACTACGTACATACGAGTATTCGTAGACTAAGGACTTTGACTTTGCGCCTCCGACTCTGGTCCAAAATCAAAACAGGCGCTGGAGGCCCTTTTTGCCTTTTCGCTGCGCCTAACCGTAAGTGCAATTGTTTTGGCCAGGCCGCCGAGGCAGCAGGAAGCAGAACACACAGCCATGTCGATCAGCGGGGCATTTGCCTTGATTTCAGCCGCACGCCACACCAAATGCCTATAGACACGGGGTCCCACACACACACACACACACATATATCTATATGTATGTACATGTATATATATTTATGCATATATATCACTATCCATTGTCATGTCCTTTGGG